ATCTCATTTGTAGGTGTGTCACTTGCCTGTAATACTTGGTATTGTTGAGTTAGTACCATGGCCTGTATGACGGACAGCCTTTCACGAATGAACTGCAATAGCTTGCTAATTATGCAAGGACCAAAGGTGAGAAGCAACAATAGAATAATGACAGGTCCTGCTACTGCGACAGCAGCGTGGTGAGCCAGGGGGATTTAGACCACCAACTCTCAAACCAGCTGCTCTGTTCGATCTTGTCCCAATTTCGCTCGTCTAAACGCTTTTGGAGTTCGGCCATGGAGTCCCGCGCTACTCCAGTATGATCAGCATAAAAACAGCATTTTTCTTTTAAGGCTGCACACACCCCACCATCCCTGAGAAAGACTAAGTCTAAACCTCTACGGTTTTGAAGCACTACCTCTGATAAGGAGGTGAGGGAGTCTGTTAATGCTGTGACTGATTTATGTACATTTCTTAAGTCCTGGTTTATGGCAGCTTTTAGTTGTCTTAGGCCTTGTTGGCCTTCCGCATATGCGGCCGCCCCTACTCCTACTCCTGTAATACCTGCTGCGGTCCCAAATCCCAAGAGGACAGCTAACGTCACGCTGATGGGTTCTCTTTTAAATCTGCGGGGGACCAGGCCTTTCGCCAGTTCTTCAAAGGTTCGGGAGTCATAGTATGTTACTCGGGGGTAGAGGTGTACTAAGACACAGAAACCAGTCTGGTTTATCAACATTGGTGAGACACAAGGAGTTAATCCGGTGTCACATGCCCACCATCCCCCATCTGTGGGTGCTAGGTATTTGCCTGGAATAGCCGTAACCTCTTCTATGCGGGCACAGAGCTGGCTCTTTTCAGGGGGTGGTGTACCAAGGCATAGTCCTTGGCCTGACACCTCGGCTAGAGTTAACCTGGTGCCCTGGCGCCCCCAGGAGCATGAATCAGAATAGCTGTAAGTACCATCATAAGCTGTCCCTTCATAATAAGGAGGGGCCTCAGAAAGGCAGAGCCAACAGGACTTAGTTAGGTCGCTTTTGGTGGAATTGAGGGCGAAATAAGCTCCTTTTACTAAATTGTATAAGGGAGGCATTTGGGGCAGCCCTGGGTCGGGGGTGGCCTGCGGGAGGGTGGGGTCGGGTGGCCGGTTTTGGAAAAGGGGCTTTTTTTTCCTGGGCGGGGTTAGGCCCTATAGGGCGGGGGTTTATGCCTTCCACCCGAAGGCGGACAATTATGAATCCACCATCGTCATAGTCCTGCTTGTACAGTCTAATCCCCCAGGTGAGCCCAGTCTCCCAGCCCAAGTTAGGCATTTTTCCTTTAGCAGTGAATTTTACAATAAGTCTTACGCACCACTGGTGGCAATTTTTGTCTTTGCAGCTCCCTCCCTCCCCTTGCTCGCTGGCCCTCTTGACTATTATGTAGTCCCAGGAGGAGGTGGGATTCCAGGAACCGTCACCGGTGGTCTCGCAGCCCCAGGTTTTGCAGAAATAATCTTCTTCCCTCCCGCATTTGCTTATGAGGGAAGGATTCTGATGTCCGCCCGGACAGATATAGATCGGGAAACCTCCCCGGGGGATGTGGGGAGGAGACAAGCCTGACCTAGAGACCCTTCTACTAAGAGGTATGCATAAGGTTGGTTTCAGGTCGGGCCACCATGTCCAGAGGGGGGCTACATTAAAGGTAGACCATATTACACCCCCGCTTTCATCTACTATTTGCCATGTCTGGTTTTGTGGAAGGTGTGGGTTTATGCCTGCCAGGGGATGGACTCTTTGTCCCTCTGCTACTGTCAAGGTTACAACAGCAAAGAATATTAAACAGTTTTTAAGAGTCTTATCTTGAGGGGGTTTTGAGTGCGCTGCACCTTCCATCTCGCTGGCTCCGAGGGATCCTTCTTGTCTCCAGGCGGCGCTCGCTTGACGTGGGAGGCGTGGATCCAGGCGGTGATCCCGTCTACCTTTAGCGCAGTGGGTGTGGTCAGCAGCACGATGTACGGGCCCTTCCACCGCGGCTCGAGGGTCTTGGACTGGTGCCTCCTCACGTACACCTCGTCGCCGATCTGGAAGGGATGTGGGACTGCGGAGCTCCCCACGCTGTAGACGGAGGCCAGCGGCTTCCACACTTGTCTCTGGATGAGTTGTAGAGCTCGCAGTCGTGCCTGTAAGCTTTGGATATTTGTAGAAGAATCAATGGCGGGGTCAAGAAAATCTGCTATAGGAGGAGGTCCTCCATACAAGATTTCATAGGGGGTTAATCCATGGCTTGTCGGAGTATTCCGGGCTCTAAACAGGGCCATGGGAAGGAGTTGGACCCAGTCTTTAGTGCCAGTTTTTAGGGCTAATTTGGTTAGGGTCTCTTTAATTGTCCTATTCATTCGCTCTACCTGTCCTGAACTCTGGGGGCGATAAGCACAATGTAATTTCCAATCTATCCCCAACAGCTTGGCCACCATCTGACTTACCTGGGAGACGAAAGCAGGGCCATTATCTGACCCTATTACCTTAGGGAGCCCGAATCGAGGGAAAATCTCTTCCAAAATCTTTTTGACTACCACTTGTGCAGTCTCTTGTTTAGTGGGGAAAGCTTCTGTCCAGCCGGAGAAGGTATCCACAAAGACTAGGAGATACTTAGCTCCATACTTGCCAGGCTTAATTTCAGTGAAATCGACCTCCCAGTTGGTGCCAGGTCGTTCTCCTCTCATTCTGACTCCAGCGGGCGCTTGGAATCGGCCCGCATTGACCTTGGCGCAGGAAACACAAGAGTCTATGACCTGTTTAATTATGCCCGGCAGATCTGGAATGTAATGAGACTGCTCCTCCCTCCGTAAAAGAGTCTCCAACTTTTTGTAACCCAAGTGGGTCCACCTGTGTAAGTAAGTAAAGTAAGTAACCAGCCTTCTCGCATACTTGCGGGGCAATATAGTCCTGTTTTCATATTCCCACGTCCCAGTCGAATTATTAAAGGTTGCCTTTAGCTTTTTGGCTGTTTCCACATCCTGGTCTGAATACTGTAAGAGGGGTTGTTTATTTGGCTGTCTTTCCCGTGATGTGGCTAAGGCAAGGGTTTGGTTTTGTAAGGCCACCGCCTTAGCAGTTTCATCCGCCATCCTGTTCCCTTCTGCTGCAGGGTCCCTCCCCACTTGGTGACCTGGGCAATGGATGATGCTCACCTTCTTAGGTAGGAAGAGGGCTTGTAGGAGGTCTAGGATTTCCTTTTTATTTTTAATGTCTTTTCCTGCCGAGGTTAATAAGCCTCGCCTCCTATAAATCTCTCCATGGACATGTGCGGTAGCAAAAGCATACCGACTGTCTGTATAAATGTTGACTTTTTTCCCCCGGGCTTCTGTCAACGCCTGTGTCAGGGCGATGAGTTCGGCCCTCTGTGCTGATGTCCCAGGCTCTAGGGCTGATGCCCAGATGACTGTGGTCCCATCTACTACTGCTGCCCCAGCCTTCCGCTCACCGTTATGCAGAAAACTGCTTCCATCCGTATACCAGGTGTGTTCAGCATCTGGTAGGGGCTGGTCGGTCAAGTCCTCTCGGGTCCCGTGCACCTCTGCCAGGATTTGATGACAATCATGTTCGATGGAGAGGTGAGGGCCTGAGTCCGGAAGTAGAGTTGCTGGGTTGAGAGAGACTGCGGCCCCGAACCGGATTCGGTCGGGATTTAACAGCATTGTTTGGTAATGGGTGATCCGGGCATTGGAAAGCCAACGGTCAGGGGGCTGGCGAATAACTGTCTCTATGTCATGGGGGGCCCTCACCGTTAAGGGCTGTCCCAAGGTTAGTTTATCAGAGTCTTTTACCAACACGGCCACAGCTGCAATGATCCGGAGACATGGTGGCCATCCTGAAGCCACACTGTCCAGTTTCTTTGAAAAATAGGCCACCGGTCTTTTCCAGGGTCCCAATTTTTGGGTCAGAACTCCTTTCGCAATTCCCTGTCGCTCATCCACATATAAAGTGAATGGCTTGTTCACATCTGGGAGGCCCAAGGCCGGAGCTGATAATAAGGCCTTTTTAATTTGATCGAAAGCCTGTTGTTGTTCCCTTTCCCATCGGAATGGGGTATTTGCCTTGGTAAGGGGGTACAGAGGGGCTGCCAGTTCAGCAAACCCTGGTATCCACAAGCGACAGAATCCAGCACTTCCTAAGAACTCCCTCAGTGCTCGCGCACTTGTGGGCGGAGGGATCTGGGTAATGGCTTGTTTGCGGCTCTCTGTTAGCCACCTCTGCCCTCCTTCCAGCTTGTAGCCTAGATAGGTCACTTGTTGGACACAGATTTGGGCCTTTTTGGCTGAGGCTCTATACCCCAACTCCCCCAGTCTCTTTAAAAGGGCCCCAGTACCTTTCAGACAGTCATCTCGAGTCTCAGCTGCTAGGAGTAGATCATCTACATACTGTAGAAGAGTGAATTGGGGACGATTGACTCTGAAGTCGGCCAGGTCCTGATGTAGAGCCTCGTCAAACAGGGTCGGGGAGTTTTTAAATCCTTGTGGCAATCTCGTCCATGTGAGCTGTCCTGAAAAACCTGATTCTGGATCTCTCCATTCAAAAGCAAGGATCGATTGACTCTGAGGGCTTAGCCTTATGCAAAAGAAAGCATCCTTTAAATCTAGCACTGTATACCATGTGTGGTTTGGGGGCAGCATACTTAGTAAGTTGTAGGGATTAGGCACCGTGGGATGTATGTCCTCTGTCCTCCGATTCACTTCCCTCAAGTCCTGTACTGGACGGTAGTCTCCCATCCCAGGCTTTTTGACGGGCAATAAGGGGGTATTCCATGGAGATTGACATGGTTTTAGGATACCCAATTGGAGCAGTCTTTGTATATGTGGCCTAATTCCATTTTTGGCTTCCCTGCTTAATGGATACTGGCGTATCATTACCGGGGTAGCCGAAGCTTTAAGTCCAATAACCACGGGAGGCTGGTTCATAGCTAGTCCCATTCCTGCAGTCTCCGCCCAAGCCTGGGGATAATCTGATAACCATTGGGGGTCGATCTGAGCTGACTGAGGGCTTTCATGTAACCGGTGTTTATCCTCCAGGCGTAAGGTTAGGACTTGGAGGGGCTGTCCTTGGGGTCCTCTGACGGAGGCCCCTTTTCCTTGGAAATAAATCTGGGCCCCTACCTTTGAGAGGAGGTCCCTCCCTAACAATGGATAGGGACAGTCTGGAATTAGGAGGAACGAGTGGGTGACTAGCCCCGTTCCGAGGTGTACTTTTCGCTCAGTTGTCCATCAGTACAATTTTCCCCCTGTGGCCCCCTGCACCAAGGATGTCTTAGAACTCAGGGGACCTCCTGCTCGGGTTAGGACCGAATGCTGGGCGCCAGTATCAACCAGGAAGGTTACTGGCTGGCCCCCCACTTGAAGGGTTACCCGGGGCTCAGGGGGGGGCTCCTGGCCCTGACTGCCCTAATCTTCATCCTGTAGGGACAATACTTGTTCTGGTCTTCGGGGTCCTCTCATCTGCCCCCTTTTTTTCGGGCAGTTCCTGACCCAGTGTCCTATTTCCTTGCAGTATGCACACTGGTCACGGCTCACTAGAGGTTTCTTTTCGTCCCCCAGGTTCCTATCTAACCTAGCCTCTCTCTCTCCTGGCTGTCGCACTACAGTGGCCAAGATCTTACTTAACTCTTTGGTACGTTTCTTGTCTCGCTTGTCCTCTCTATCCTCCTGCAACTTAC